TGCACACACCTGCAGCACACCCCTGCTGCACACACCTGCAGCACACCGCAGGAGGCCACTAGGCTGCAAGGAAAGCATGAAGCAAGCAGTGAGGAAGCAGAGTAGATGGGATAGGCTTCTTGGAGGATGGGTGGTCACCGGCTGTGGGCTCAGGGGATTCCTACCCAAGGCAGCAGCTACCCCCAAAGAGTAAAGAGCACTGGACGTGGAGTCAGAAAAGCTGGGTTTCTCCCATATTCTGCCTGTGTGACTCTGAGCCTCCGTTTTCTGATCTATAACAATATCCCCCCTGCCTCACTCCCCAAGGGTGTCTTGAGGGAAATGTGTAAATTACAAAGCTCTTGGGAAGTACAAAAGCAACTATATTATTCCCCCTAAAGATCCCTTTTGTGAACTGCATTCAGGGTTCTAGCCGGTCGGGTCTACCAGCCTGTCCTCCCTCCTCAGGGAGACACCACCCCTGGCCTGATCCTCCCAGGCCCAGCTCCAACACCCAACCGCCCACCTGCTCGCCCACTCCCCAAAGCAGGGCCCGCATGCAACAACAGGGGCAGGGGCTCTGCCGCCATCTTTGAGCTGGAGGCCCAGCACAGCTCCCAGACGTGAGCTCAACCATACTTCAGAGGCTCACAGCACAGCAGGTGAGGCAACTAGGCCCAGAGCAAGAAGACAGCACGAAGCTCTACTGGTCGTGCTCTCTCAGCTCCTTATCTGGCTTTTGGGACGCCCCTTTGGGTTGACCTGGATTCTAAAGGAACCTCGTCTACCAGCTCCACACATTAAGTTCGAAACCTACCACCCCTTGCTGAGGCCTATTTCCTCTCTGTAAATGGGAGTGTTGGTCTCCTTGGATGAGCCCCAAGCTTCCATGCCTTTAGTGCACTAGACTGTTGGCTGTGGAGTCAGGCAGTCCTGAGTCTGAATGCTGCCTGTGCCTCTTTCTAGCTGTGTGACTTACCTAATTACACAACTTCTCTGTGCCTCCGTTTATTACATGTAACCCACGGATAACTGTGCTTCCATCTAGGTTCATCTGCAAGAACCAAAAGAGATACTACTGGGAACTTGGTCAACACAGAGGTGCACAGTAAGTGTTTTTATTTTCACCGTCGTGGGGGGCTTGGGGCTGTATGGTAACCACGGATCCCGAGGCTTTTCTGCAGCAGGGCAGGTGGTGGGAAAGAGTATGGGGTCAGTGGGCCTGTAGGTGAGGTGGGATCTCCCCGAACGAGGCAGGGAGGGTCCAGGCACCTCGAGAGTCATGGGAGTCAAGATCCCGAGAGATGCCTCTCAAGTCACGGAGTGGGTTTCTGGGCCCCCACGAGGGAGACGCTTCCTGAAATCCTGGGGTTTCCAGCGCCCCCCTCCGCGGGGCGCTCCCTGAGTCTTCCGGGTTCCAGGCTCCCCGGCGAGGGGTCCCCCCACCCCAGCGTCCGCTGACGCTCCCGGCCGCCCGTAGGTGCGCCGGCGCAGCGCTGGTCCATGCAGGTGCCAGCCGAGGTGAGCGCAGCGGCGGGCGAGGCGGCCGTGCTGCCCTGCACCTTCACGCACCCACACCGCCACTACGACGGGCCGCTCACGGCCATCTGGCGCGCGGGCGAGGCCTACGCGGGCCCGCAGGTGTTCCGGTGCGCGGCGGCGCGGGGCAGCGAGCTCTGCCAGACGGCGCTGAGCCTGCACGGCCGCTTCCGGCTGCTGGGCAACCCGCGCCGCAACGACCTGTCGCTGCGCGTCGAGCGCCTCGCCCTGGCCGACGACGGCCGCTACTTCTGCCGCGTCGAGTTCGCCGGCGACGTCCACGACCGCTACGAGAGCCGCCACGGCGTCCGGCTCCGCGTGACCGGTGAGCGCGGCGCCCTTACCCCCCGGCCCGCCGCGTCCCCAGGGGGGCGATACACGGCGCCTTTCTCTAGGGCAGGGGCCGCACACCTGGCGATGGACGCGGGCCGCCCGGGAATTTGTTAAAAATGCATAATGCTGGCCCCGAGAAGGGCTGAGCGGTGCCCGGGAGTGGGCATCGGAATGAAGCTCGTGGGGGCGAGGTGGGGGGAAGTTGGTGAATGGCCCCAGGAGCTCTCAGTCTAGGGGGGAGGGACACGAGTTGAACAGTAATGGCAAGGCTGCGAAGGAATGTGCGCTCTGTGCACTGAAGGGCCCCCGCAGCCCCCTGGGGAGGTGCCCCGGGAGCCCGCCAAGTGCGCAGTACTTTGCTAGACCCTAAAGAAGTGGGAACCAGGGTCCCCGGTCCCTAGAGCAGAGGTTCTCAACCCTGGCTGCGCACTGGAATTAGCTGGGGAGCTTTTAAAAATCCTAGGCCTGCCTGCTGTGAGGATCCCGTTCAAGGGTTCCAGTCTGGCTCTGCCAAGAACTTCCCATATGCCCTTGGGCTGGCTGGGCCGCCTCTCCGAGTGCATGTCAGTTTCTAACCCGGGGCCCTCGCGCCGCCCTGCCGCAGACCCACGCATTCAACTCTAGACCTTGGTGAGGCTGTCTGCGAGTGGGAAGTGCCCTTGAAATCATACCGGCAGACCGTCCCCAGCCCTGAGCTCCAGCAACGGTAATGACCGTTGAGTGAGCATTTGCTATGGGCCAGGCCCGAATCCAAGCACCCCACATGTATTAACTTGCCAAATCTTCTCAACGACCCCATAAGGTAAATGATCCCCATTTTACGCATGAAGAAACTGAGGCACGGAGCTTCAGAATAGCTTGCCCAAGGCCACATCTCTATGGGGTCCCAGGCACCGTGACGCTAGAGCGCCTACTCCCTCCTCTCCGCGCCCCCCGCCCCCAAATCTCTTGGTGACTAAAAAGAACTGGGAGGGGGTCCCCCCCCTTGCCCTTGCCCGCCACTGCTCTGACCACAGTTTTCTTTCTCCCCCCGACGCCCTGGCCGCCGCCCGCAGCCGCCCCGAGGATCGTCAACCTCTCGGTGCTGCCCGGGCCGGCGCACGCCTTCCGCGCGCTCTGCACGGCCGAGGGGGAGCCGCCGCCCGCCCTCGACTGGTCCGGCCCGGCCCTGGGCAACGGCTCGGCCGCCGTGCCGGCCCCGGGTGAGGGTCACGGCCACCAGGTGACCGCCGAGCTGCCCGCGCTGGCCCACGACGGCCGCTACACGTGCACGGCCTCCAACAGTCTGGGCCGCGCGGAGGCCAGCGTCTACTTGTTCCGATTCCACGGCGCCTCCGGGGCCCCGGCGCTCGCCCTCCCGCTCGGCGCGCTCGGCCTCAAGGCGTTACTGCTGCTCGGCATTCTGGCCGCCCGCGCCGCCGCCCGCCGCCGCCTAGGTGGGTGCACCCCGGGCCAGGGTGGGGGCGAGGGGCCGGGCGGGGGCTCTCTCCCAGGAAAGACCGACTGGCCGACCGCCTGGCATGACTCAGCCCCTGCACGCTTTCCGCACCTGTGCCTCATCTCGCTTTCCTCTCCCTGCGTAGAGCCCAGGAGCGGGGAACGAGCAGGAAGCCCATTTTAAGGAAGCTGAGGACAGAGAAGTGAAGGAACTTGCCTGGAGCCTAGAGACAGAGACCCCAAAAATGTAACTCCCACCCTTCGCCCATACCCCATAAATGACTCCTCCCCGAGGATTCTGACCACACATAGGCCTTCCAAACAGCCCCATTCCGTTGTGTTACAGTAAGCATCTTGAGGACCTACTGTGTGCTGTGTAGGTGCCCGGAAGACAGAGATGAGTAAGACCTGCCATCGAATGGGGTGCTGAGGAGTAAGCAAATAATTGCAGTCTGCAGGGAGAAGGGCTGTCCCGGAACCCGGGTACCAGAGAGGCCCAGAGTGTAGCGTGCCTCACCTTGGTGCGACGTCCGGACAGGCCAGGAGGGAAGGCTTTACGAGTAAGGGGACAGCTAGATCAGGAACTGAAGCAAGGAGCTGATGGTATTCCCAGCAGAGGGAGCGACAGGTGCGGAAATGTGGGCTAGCAGGGTGTCCTCCGGACCTGCCGTTCGCCCCTCATTGCTCTTGCTGAGCTGGATGGGAAATTGGCTTGTGCCAGACAGGGGCTTCCCAGAGCCTCTCGGACCATCCAGGTCAGTAGCCCCCGCCTCACATCGTCTTGGGACGAAATCCAGAATTTGTCACGGTTGCCCTGGCTATTGCTGTCTTTCCTTGCCGGTTCTTCAGACCCACCAAACGTTCTGGGCGCCATGGTCCTGAGAAAGGCGGGGTTTTCTGCCGGGCGTCTGCTCCCTCTATGCTTCTCATCGTTAACTCCTGGTCATCTCTAAGGCCACTTCATGCCCGGCTAGCTAGTGTTTGTCGCATGTCCCTTCAGACCACTTTCCACAGTGGGGTGGGGTGGACAGCAGGGCCTGTCACCTGAGGCTACCATGGAGACTCATGCCTCTCTCTCTCTCTCTGTCCCTCATACAGAGCACCCAGTTGCCCAGGACACCCCACCACGGTGAGTACCCTGCCTTCACCCACCCCAGTCTAAGTCCCCACTGGCCAAGGCACAGAGTTCCCGGGGCTTGTAGCATAAGGAGAAAGACCAGGCAAAGGGGCAGGGCTGGGGTCTGGGCCTCGACCAGCGTTTCGACCTTCCCTACAGCCTTCCAAAGCCCTGCTCTTCAGTCTCCCAAGTCCTTCTTGGCCAGACCAGGCCACGCTGACCTGCTCTCCTCACCCACCCCTCCTTCAGCATTCACAGTCTGGGCCTCACACTGGCATCTCTCCCAGACCTGCCTGGTATCCTGGTGCCAAAGTGTCATTTTTCTGTCTTATGTCCGCACCTAGTTGTGATTCCTAGAGGCTGTGTTTCCTCTCGGGCTCCCCAGCATTCTAGAATAGGCAGACTCAAACAAAAGCCAGCTCGGGGCGCTCATTCTCCCCCAGAGCTGAAGGCTTCTCAAACAAAATGCCATTAGAGGTTCAGAGGGTTTAAGCTAGGACGTGCCGACCCTGCAGTCCAGGCTCTCCTTCTCTCTCAGTGTCTGTTCAAGTGAAGGTCTGCGTGGAAGAAAGAATACAATTCACTGACCCTGGGCAGGGTGCCTGGGATGCTGGGGAGTGGGGAGGCCAAACACAGTCTTTCAGGGCCTATTGGACAAGCCCAGGTGTTCCCATAACTTGGTCTCTCCCTGTGCCCTGAGGGCTGGAAAAGCCATATTACCAGCCCAGGCCCCTCTCTCTGGCTGCCTGTTCAGCCATCCCCGTTTTTGAAAACCTGTGCAATGTCCCTCTGCTTTGCTAATTTACTAGCACACCGAGTCACCTAAATCAGAAAGCTGAGGGGTCAGATACATATTGAGTACCTGCTATGTACCGGACACCGTGTTGGGCGCTAACGCTACAGCAAAATTCCCCAACTTCAGAAAACTCACATTTTAATGTGGAGAATTTAATAAACACGTGAACAAGATCATCTTCGATTCTGAAGTACAAGCTGTGAAGGAAATGGACAGGGCCACGCAGCAGAGCCCCAGGGAGGGAGGCGGCTGCTGGGCAGGTCACAGGCTCAGGGGAGACCCGGGAAGGGGCCAATGGGCAGTCACTGAGTGGCGATGGGAAGCACCCGGGGGGGCCCCACCCAAACAAGACTGGGGGCCAGGAGCCTTCCGAGGAGGCTGCTGGCCAAGGCTGCGGCTGGGTGGAGGTGGAGAGGCGGTGCAGACAGAAGGCAGGGCTGACCAGGGGGCCAGGTGGGCAGCACGAGTGAGGGAGGCAGCCAGGGTGCCCAGCTTCGGCGCTGTAACCCTGGGTGCCACTGACTGAGATGAAGACAGGGAGGAGGGGGTGCAAGCGCTCACACATAGGTCTGAGATGCCCGCGGGAGAAGTCAGGAGAGCAGCTAGAGCTCAGGGGGCCACGCCTGGGGAGATCAGTGTGGGGGGCACCAGGCACAAGACGGTTGTTGATGCCACCGACGAGATCCCTTCCAGAACATAGTGCCTCTGGGGTCTGGGAGGCCGTCCTGCATGGTAGCCTCCTCCCTGCTCTGCAGACGCTGTGGTCCGCTGTCCTTTCTCCAACCTTAGTTAGTCCCCACGCTCTGCTGGGTCTAGGCCGGGCTCCCGTTTCCACTCTCCTTCCTGCCCGTGGCTGGGGCATAGTGTGGGCAATTGGCGGCGCCCCACTTGTGTATTGGGTGGTCAATGCACTTTCTCCTGTCCACAGGCCCCAGGTTCAGGAGTCCAACTATGAGAATTTGAGCCAGATGAGCCCTCGGGACCCACCAGCAGCCACATGTATACCATGAGGAGCCCCTTGGCCACTGGCATCCACTTGTACCCCATGAAGAGCAGAGGCCAAGGCCAGGCTTGGCTGGGACGGCCCTTCATGGCTCCCAGCCACGTGGGCAGCCCCTGGCTGGGTGACCTCACACAAAGGGTGTCAAGACCCCGCTCACAAAGGCTCAGTGGTCTCCTACAAGGATGTCTGTCCCAGAGGCCCAGGATATTTATGTCAGTGGGACCAGCATTTTGAGTGTGTGTGTGTGTGTGTGTGTGTGTGTGTGTGTGTGTACGTGCACATGCGTGCAAAGCTCCAGCATGAAACTCACGGACAAACTCTCGTCCTTTCCTACATAGAATGTCATAGTAGAACAGGCAGGACACTGGTCAGAGGGTCTCCCAGGCTCGGACTCGCTGTGGGGACCAGGGCACTTTTTTCACCTCTCTGGGTCTCAGTTCAGCTACTTGTGAGCGTGGACAATAGTATTCCTCCCTCCTGGCTACTCGGCATGTCAAGATCTGAGGAAATAATGGAATGAAGGGACTTTGGGAAGTACACAGCCATGTACAGATTACAGATGGGGGGGTCACAGGCTCCTCCTTGCAGGCCCCCCTGGGACGTGCAGAGAGTTCTTGGACAAGTGGGGCCCCCACACCAGCCTGGCTGAGAATGAGGATTCCAGAGACCCACCCTGGGGCCCGGGCTTCTGAGGCTACGTAAACCTGTGGTCCCAGGAACATCCACTCAGCAGTGAGGAGAAGCCTGCTCCCCCTGCCTCCCGGGTCTCCTCTGTGACTGCCCCCACCCTCTGCCCACCTCTTTGCCATCGGCTGCTCTGCGCTCCTTGAGCTGGGACCCCCTGGGAACCCATTGTCTCCTGTATCTGGGATCCACTGCCCTCAAGGACCCAACGCTGAGAGGTTGGGGCCAGTCTGGACTGCAGGGCCCGTGGATAAGGCAGCTGCAGCTGCGACATCTCCCTATGACCCGCACCCTCCCCGGACACGAGGTCCAAAAGCACCAGCAATTTCACCGCATTTGCCCGAGGCCTCTCAGGCTGACTTTGTGGGGTGCTGCCTTCCACATTCACACGTTAATGCAAGCGTATGCATTTTAGCTTCCGCAGTCCCTGGGGTCAGGAGAGGGGGGAACAGGTGTGCTTGAGACCCGGGCAAGCTGGCAAGAGGAAAGGGCCACAGAGCTAGGGGACTGAAGAGGCGATGGGGACAAACTTTTCCTCAGAGCTTTTCCCAAAGCTAGGCTGGTAACCCAGAGTGGGGAGGGGCCCTGGCTCATGCTCTTCTGGGGAGGTGGCCCGAAGGGGATGGATCTTCACAAGTTAATAAGCAGGGCAGTGGGTGGCGAGGTGCCCTTGTTCACCAGAGCCTTCGCCAGGGCCTGTGGGTGTCAGCAGCCCATGGTTAACTTGGGATCCATCCAGGAGTCTGAACTGCCAAAAATGCGTCAGCATTTGCACCTCCTTGTATGAGGATACCGTGGGCATCTGCATGGAGGGTCCTGTATCACCAGCGAAGAAGCCAGGGACACGGGGGTGGTGCATCTTGAAACATCTGCATGGACTTTGAGGCCTGTTTTGCAGCCAAGAAAAACTGTGACAGCAGTTACTTCTTAAGGGTCCGTTTTGTGCGAGGAATTGGGCCAGGCGCGTGTATGGAAATGAGTAAGGGCTGTCTATCAGTCAGTCTGGGCTCGGTTGTGCTGTGCTAACCAACAAACACCCGAATCACAGTGGCTGAAAACAGGGTTTATTCTCACCGAAGGTACGTGCCCATCACGGGCTGGCGGGATCCCAGGCTCCCATGGATCCAGCATCTCTTGCTGTGGATCATTGGGTTGGAGATAAAAAGAAAGCGCTAGAGGGTCTCCCACTTGAGAGCAGGACTGGCCACCTGCCCCACTCACCCTCAAGGCCCGGGCAGTGAAACCTGCCACCACCTGGAGTGAGGAAACCCAAAAGCCCGGGCAACAGCCCTGCGGGCTCCACAGTAAGACTCCAGGATTTCTCACGTTAGCGAGCCACGGACCAGTAAGTGGAAAATCAAGGTGCTGTGGGAGCACACAGAAGGGATCACTGACCCAGTCTTGGGAAGGCTTCCTGGAGAAGGGGACCTGGAGATGGTACGTGTGATGAGGGAGGATGGAAATTGGAAGGTTAAGAACAAAGGTGATTCTAAGCAGAAAGGACAGTCTGGGCAAAGGCCAGGAGGTCGGACACAGCATGATGTTGAAGCAGCTGAAAGTTGTTGGAACATGAGCACAGAGAGAGGCACGGCGGCCGGAGCTGGGGCTGCAGCGAGAGGAGTCTCCCACACGGTGGCCAGTGCTGCCCCCAACAGGGGTGAGAAGCAGAAGGGAGCCGGGCACCCAAGCGGCCCAGCATGGTGCTGACTCCCTGTACTGCCCAGCAGGATGCTTTCCCCAGCCTGGCACTGCACCTGCCCCACACGCACCACGCGCTTGGGCTGGTCTTTCCATCTTGACACCCTGGGCTCTCAGAGCAGTGTTTCTGCGGTGGTTTCTGAGGGTCACCTGTGTCAGGAGCACCTGGGGAGCTTGCTCACATCCCCATTCTGAGTGCCACCTGGGCCTCCTAAAAGTGGGCTCTGAGGGTGGGCGCTGGAATTTTAAACAAATGCTCACGTGATTTTGCCCGTAACTTTGTATTGTGATCATTTTCCAGCATGCACACACACACAGCTGAAAAAGATGATCATCCAGAAACCCACCACCTACATTCAACAGTTACTACCATTTTGCCATATTTGCCATATTTGCTAATGTGCCCATGCACGTGTGTGCAAGCGTGCACATGCATGTCTGTTTGGCTGAACTATTCAAGAGAAAACCGTTCAAGACACCACAGTACTTCACCTCTAAATACGTCAGCTTCATCTCCGGAGAACAAGAGCATGCTCCCCTATAACTTCAATGCCATTATCACACTCGAGAAAATTAACAATAATTGAACAATACCATCTTACAGCCCACATTCGTATTTACCCAGTTCTCAAAATGGTTTTTTTAGCTTGTTGCCTCTAGCCAGGGCCCAGTTGACTCCAGGCAATTCTTAAGCAAGCTAGAGTCTGAGACTCCCTCTGGCTGGGGCGCAACTTACAAGGGAGCGAGCTAACCAGCCAGTGTTCCTTCCTGTGGTGTGTGCAATGTGAAGTAGGTCTTCCAGAAACTGCAGAAGCGGCATTCCTCAAAGAAATTCGCCTCTGACGGAGTGGCTTCACACATGGTGATGGGCCGTGGGAGCACCCTGAGGAGGGACAGCAGAGGCTCCCTCTGGCACTCCCTCTACCAGTTTGCTCACAGGGCACAGGTAGCCTCCTGCTTGGTCTCCAGAGAAAGCAGCTGCTCCAGGAGCAGAAGGGGAGGGTGGGGGGGTGCACTTGGCCATCACCAGACCCCTGGGAGCCTGGAGCTGCCACTGGGAGGTCTCCGTGGAGCAGAGCCACCGTCCTCCCCAACCAGACCATCTAAGAGCACAGGGGCTCTGTCATGGCAAGCAAGGACCAGAGCCACGGGCGACAGGCGCAGTCAGCACATGGTCTTCGGCCCCGAAGAAGTTGCAGAGATAAGAGACCCAGGAGACTTGGCATTTTCAAGACCGGATTCCCCAGTGTGGCCTAGGGCACACAGCTAGAGCCTTCCCTTCCTCTCTACAGTGCTCTGGGAACGTGAGCCCATTAGTCCCTAGAGGGGCTTCTGACAGCCCGGAGACTGCCCTCCCCTGCCTCCCACCAACTGCCCCCAGGGATGGGCAGCGGGAGGAAGAGATGACAATGGCCTCAGGTGCCCACCCAGATCCACCAAGAGCCCAACACACTGTCCCTGCCCTTGAGGAGCTAACCTTTTAGATCAAGATGTGTCTCCGTGAGATAATCTACACTGAAGATAGGCCCTGCCTGGGGACAGAAGTGACCCACAGTGGGGCTGAATTTTCACATGCAGCCCCCTTGCTAGCCTGGATGGGAGAGCCGGGGCGGGGGGGACCCCACTGCTCATAGGGCCTCAGGCCAGTGGGACCTTAGAGACCTAGAGTCAGGGGTCCCAGGCTTTGTCCCACCGCCAGCCCTGGGCACTTAGGTCAGTGATACTGGTCCCCCGCCCCCAACAACAGCCCCTGACATTTCCTGAGTGCCTCCACCTCTGTGACCTCAGGGAGTTCTCTCTATAAAGCCAGGGAACAAGAAGGGCTGCAATTATCCTCATTTACAATGAAGGGAGAATCTCCAGGAGGAAAGTGGCCCCGTCCCAGCTCCTTCCACATCCATGTGCCGCCTCCTCTTTCCCAGGCTCTCCTCCTCTCCTGTGCCCCTTCCTCTGTGTCCTGTTTTATGAACTAAAGGGAGAAAAACATGATCTGCCAGTATAAGGATATAGAATTACTTGGGATTGGAACTCTCTGGGTTTCCCTGGGTTTGGACCCCAGACCTTTGTCTTCCATAATCATCTCCAAGTCCTGTGTGCAAGTGACCTCAAAGGGTCCCCAGAGCAGATTGCCCAGACACTCACCTCCATACCTCCAACAGAGGAGGAGGAGGCGGCGTGGGTGGGGGAGGGTAAGAGTGGGAAGGAGGGGGAAGGAAAGGGAAGGTAGGCAGAGGGGCCTTAAGGAAGGTTGATTAAGAAGGACAAGGCAGGAAGCAGGTCAGCCTGGGCAGGCTGAGAGAGTCCAGGGTAAATCTGGTCTAAGCCACAAATTTAGGCGATATTAAAATATGGCGTCCAGGTGAGAGGCCATGTTGGTCACTCTGACCAACAGACCAGGGAATGCAGGGCTGTTTCCTACAAGGGTTTGGCTAACGACGACCAAGAGGGAAGAGGACTGTCTTCAGAAGAGGAGTTTTCAGAGGAAGATGAAGACCTTCTCTATTCTGGATTGCCTCACAGTGCCAGGGACCACTTCCGGCCCAGCAAGAAAGCCCGCTCATCCAGAGACAGGTAACCGGATTCCTACACTACAAGGAGGTGGCACAGCTGGCCTCTAATCCACTTTCCAATCCCTTAATCCTGTGGTTCCATCTGGATATGCTTCCATCCAGGGGAAATTCCAAATTGATGTTACTCCCGAAAGTGCAGACTCTCCCACCATACTTTGGCCCATTCAAGATGTGTCTTACAAATGTTAATGAAAACGAATAGTAAGAAAGAGCTCAGGTTCCGAGGTGCCCCACCCCCACCCACCAACTCCGGCGGTGGAGCCTTCCTGCAGCTTCCGGTCCCTCCTCCTCCTCAGGTCACAACCACCTCACAGACTCCCAGGGCTCTCCTGAACTCCGGGATCACCAGGGGGGGCCTCCTGTCTATGCTGGCCCTTAAACCCCCAAGCATTAAATTCTCTTTGAAACTCAAGGCCTTGTGTGCAGTGTGGTGACTTGTTACAATATATAGATTCTACCCACTACCAGCTTTCTAATTTCACCTTTTTCTTAGTGTGATTTTTTTTATGTGTTTCACAAAATTCTTAATTTTTTATTGGTTGTTTTGAGGATCAGTACGGACGTTTCAATTTGTACACAATTCTTAACATATGTACCGAAAATCTAAAAAAACCATGTAGTTGTGATTCTTTTCTAAATGTTATTCCAGTGACCTTCCAGCTTAAAATTTGGAGGCAAATTTTCCTTAACAGTATACCAAGTACCAAGATCTTCAAATGCTGATACACTGTTACATTGTTAAGTCCCATTAATTCACAATTTAATATCATATATACTACATACTCAAATTCTCAATCTTGCACAGCACATTAACAGAGTTACTAGGAAAACCGGACTACCACGCCCAAGATGTTACAGAGTGCACAAGAACTCTGACCGGGAGAGCCAAGATCTAGGAGTGGTTTTCTTTAGGAAACAATTCTACCAAAAACAACATGGGAATAGAAGTGATTTAAAATATTCAAGACATAGTAAATGCACGACCGACTCCAAACTGCCGTTTAGTATGCTTGGTATTATAGGATATAAAAACTACCCCAGCTATAGAATGTCGAGCTGACACCCAAGCAAAGCGTCCCACATTCAATATCCCACTATTTCCTGGTTGTACCAAAAAATAAACAACCAGCAAATGATTTCACCTCTTAAAAAAAAAAGCATTTACACTTAAAAAATGGGATGAGGTGGGATTCCCTCCTTCTTAAAAATGTTTCTAGAGCTACTAAAAAACTTGCATTTACAAAATAGTTGATAAAAATATTCCTCTGGATTCTACAAGAAGGGCGACAGGGACCACTGATAAGACATGGTTTATGGTATTAATCAGACTTGGCTTCTTTCTCTCCTGCTTCATCGGAGGCTGGACTCTCCTCATTTTTAGTTTCTCCATTTTCTGCAGGTAAGTCTTCTTTCGTTTCTTGGTTAGCCACTTCAGCCTGTTTCCCCTTTGCTCCCCTTTTCCCCTTTGTTTGCACTTTTTTGTCTGAAGATTTATCGTTTCCTGCCGCCTTTTTTGGCTTCCACTTTTGCAGGAGCAGGTTTAGCTGACAACCTCGCCGAACTCCTCTTGGGCTCCTCCTTCGACGCCCCCTCGGCGGAGCTGACCTTCCTCTTGGGCATCGTGGCGGCGGGGGGGGCGCGTGCCGGGTGCCTGCGGGCCCCGGCGCACTGAGACCTTTCGCAAAGCTGGGCTGCCTGGCCGCTACCGCTCCTCCCGCCGCCCGAGCTGCTGCAACCCGAAGCAGGGGCGGTGGGAGAACCCTCTGAGTGTGATTTCTGGATGAAAAGACCTGCCAACCAACTTGCCAAAAAATGAGACATGTCCATCACATGTAAGTGAAATTTGAATCTGGTTTATTTGCAGAATTTTACTTAAACCAATTCTCATTTCTCCCTGCTTCTCATCATTACATAAAAACTCATCCTTTGTACAAGCATGTAAAATGCTGAACAATGAATAAGAAGTGAATATTGCACATTTAATGAACAAATAAGTTGTGGTAAGGCCACACTAGACATGTGGGAAGGAAAGGGTTAAATACACTTAGGAAGTACTTGTTGCCCCATAAGTGATTTTAAGCCATTGAAAGAAAAATGAATTGTAACCTTCAGTGCTCAGACATATTACATCTGTACATTCAAAAATAAAAGTTATAATAAACAACATTCATTCCTTAAGTGATCTCATTACCCCAAAACAGGGTCAGTAGTTCTATTTTTTTCAAGTTATTGTCATCAGAAATCAGGAACCTATCCGGACTAGAGGAAGCATCAACTATAGCTTCTACAGGACACTTGGTGGCTCTATTAAGTGTGAAGATCACCACAGACCAGAACAAGGTCAGTATGAGCACCTGGCTGTAAGCCAAGAACTTTATCCAGCTCAACCCAGATTCAAACGGAAGATCAGTATGAGGATACTTAAAAATAAAGAAGGCAACATGTTTGTTTCCAACATTATACTCTCCATTTTGTTTAATAAGACGAAGTTAACTGAGCAGAAAAAAATTCAGCTACTACCTCAAAATAAGCCATAAAGTTGGTCCAAAATGGAGTTTTATTTTTTTTTTAAAGATTTTATTTATTTGACAGAGAGACACAGCGAGAGAGGGAACACAAGCAGGGGGAGTGGGAGATGCAGGCTCCCGCAGAGCAGGGAGCCCCATGCGTGGGCTGGGATCATGACCTGAACTGAAGGCAGATGCTTAACGACTGAGCCACCCAGGCGCCCCGTGAAGAGCAGTTTTAAAAGATACGTGCGAAGCCTTATTATAAGCTCATCATGCCAACAGGTGAGACCAGTCTTTGGAAGGAAACGACGTTAAACCAAGGTCTGGGGTTTGAATCCACCACTAACTGAATGTGCCAACCACGGGGCACAGCTGCTGAGAGCCGATGCCGTCCACGGGTTCTGGGCAGTGGACGTGGCTGCTGGGTCCTCGCTGTGGTGCCTGACCCCCAGGGCAGGGACCAGGCGGAGGGCACGGAAGGGAAGGAAGCACACTCCAGATACCTGCAGGTGTGTGCCGCGTCCAGTTTGCGCCCTTGGAGCCTCATCTGTCTCCCGAGTCCTGGCCCTGCTACTCGTGGACACGGCCCCTTTGGAGTCTCCATGGGCTAATGTGGGCACTTTTCCCAAAGAGCAGCCTTGTTAGACGTTGGGTGGAAGACGGCCAGCTGAAGGCACTGAGCATTTATTTAGCCTGAAGACTAAGAGGTGGACGGGTGGGGCCAGAGGTGTGAGGAGGTCTGGGAATGTTGGAAGATTTGTCTGAGGAGTAGGAAAGCAGCCCCGGCCTGGCCTGCTCCTGCCAAACCGTTCCCGATGTTATCAGGCCAGCTTTGGTGGAACATAAAGTAGAACTACAAAGAGACCTGGTCACTGGCCACCAGGGCTTGCCCACGAGGGGCAGGACTACCGGCCTGGGGGCTGCCGGGGAGGGGCAAAGGAGAGGCAGGAGGGGGTCAGCAGGGGAGGCTGGAAGAGCAGAGCTGGGGATCCCTGATGAATGAGAAGTGGAACCAGATGAGCTTTAATGTCCTGCTGACTTTAGTCACGATTCTACAGCATTTCCTTCCGGCTCCAGAAGAAATCATTAAGCCTAGTATTAAAAACCCAGTAGAAAACTGTGTATCACCTTCATTCAAAAGGAAGAAAGGGCATGAACACTCTACCTTGCACAACGTGGACACACTGACTTTAGTAACCGACCGGGAGGAACAGGGTTGGCACTTGGTTAAAGTGAGCTTAGGCTACTCTGGGGGTTTGCATTTTCTGGGTAGGCCTGCCCCCACCTCAGAACTGAGCGACTCCCGCAACCCCAGGAAGCAGATGTGACTGAGCCCCAGAGATCATGAGGTTCTCTGCGTGCCCAGGAGCTTCAGGAACATGCCGGGTGGGTCCCAGCTCCTCCATCAGGCTAGGCACACATGTCAGCACCACCTCCTGTCCTCAGCCTCTGCGCCTCCCAGCTTCCCGCCGTGTTCACTTGGCACAGGCACGGGAGCCTGGAGAGGGAGATGGAGGGTGCCTCTCGGACCGAGCTCCGTGTGCTGCAGAGTTGGGGGAGACGGGGTTGGGGGGGGCGCCGAAGCAGGGGAGGTGCTCATCGGGCAGGAAGCTGCCAGACATCCCTGTGGGAAGCAGGTGCCGCCCGTGGCAGGTGCAGAGCAGGTGTGGGCAGGTGTGGGCCAGCGGGCCTCCAGCACTGCTTGGAGCGGGCGGCCTGGGGCCGGCTGGATCCGGACAGCCGTGTACTGCACGGATAACGGTCTCCGAAACCGGCCCTGCGGGCTCCGGAGGCCGACTACTTTTGGCACCAAAGGCGCGTTACTCCTGAAAGCCAACGGGGAGGCCGGTCTATTCCGCCCCAGGAGGCTGCAGCAGCGTTGCCACCTTCTGAACCATCTCATTGTCTTTAAAGCGCTTTCTTGGCCCAGAGCCGCTCAGAGGAGGCTACGCGGTGAGCCAAGCTTCCACTGCTGCTAAGCCCGAGGAGCTAGAGAGGAAGCACTTTCACTGACCCTCTCTGATAATCAAGTTCCAGTGTCAAATAAAATAGAGGACATCAGGCATAAAAGCCTGCATCGACTTTAACTGAAATACTTGACAAGATAGTGTGAGATCCCTAAAATTTGTATTCTTGCCGGCTACAACCAAAGGTTGATTTTATTTTTTATGATTTTTTACAGACCAAACACATTATATTACAAACCTTCGAAAATTAATAATCATAATTTTCTTTAAAATGTACATACTGTCACTCAAAAAGTTTCACATTCTAGGATACCAATTACAGCTTCCTCAGAGAAAAGAGCACACAAAACCCCTCCTGTCATAAGATCTTTGTTGCCATATCAGCCACCGAACTGCTCACAGCTTCTAACACTTTCTTACACAGCACAGGGAAGCTGCCAGATGTTGCAAGTGGAGAGAAGCAAAACCCAGGCTAGCTTGTGACATGCCCCTCTGAGATGGACACCTCGTGACCTACACAAACTTGGAGGGTGCACGGGGATGAGCTCTGTGAGGCAGAAGTGTTCTGTCCAACTAGAGAAGTTTGAAATGAAGAACAGCTCCTGCACACTTCCACATGTTGGGGGAAGTACTACATGGGATATCTGAAAAAGAGATTATCACTCCATCAACCTAGATCCCTACCCCCTGCTAAGGGCTCTCAGTTCAAATATTTTTAGGTAAATACCCTTGAGTTATAAGTAACCCATGAACAGAAGACATATTATGCAAGCTGAACAAACAAAACCAATTCTGAGCCAAGAGAATTAGGAAGACAAAAGTAAAACTGTTCATCCCGGGGGGGGGGGATGATGAGAGCAAGAAGCTGGCGACAGAACAAGGCCACACTACAGAAAGGCGTTGGTAATGAGTGAACTGTTACCAACAACAAAAGGCACAGGGCTACTGGGAAAAGCCAAGTTTGCATGGACAAGTGCTTCAGCAGGTGTGCTAACTTCATCTGACTTTACATGTGGAATGAAGAAACACACGGACGCAGCATCAAGTTCTCAGACTCTGTCTCTTTCTAGACAGCAAGGTCTTCCGATTTCAAGCCTGGTGTCTAACAAGAGTTGCGAACTCTGATGTCTACAGGGACGGAGGAAGTGACATGAGTGAGGAAATGGGCCAGGGTGGGCTCTGCGGGGATTATGTCTACAGTGACCACACTCTCCACCATGGGGGTCACACAAAACACGCCACCATTGTACCACCTCGGTTGACAGGGATGTCTCCTTCTCCACAAGGACAGCTGATGGAAACGGACTTGTCACCATCTCTGCTGTCCACTATAATCAGGATCAAGTGGCCCCATTTTAGACAATGACTCACTTTAATTCAGCATTCTTATCTCCATTCTGAGGGAAGTGATATTTTTAAGTTGGTGTATTTCCCCACCTGTGAGAAATGCAGAAATTTTCTAAGCTTTTTTTACCTTGAAAGAACACAAATGGGGTTCAAAAGTGAG